TTCCGAGGCCCTGGGGCCCCTCGCCCGTCGCCCCTCTCTGTCCAGTCCTGGCCTCTGCCACCCCGAGCGCTCCGCCTTCATAGGGGCCCCGGAGTGCGCACCGGCGAGGGGCCCAGGGCGCCCCAGACCCCGGGACTCACCCCAGGGAGCCCCTTCCCTAGCTTCCGTGCTGGGTCCCTGCCGCCGGGGAGGGACGAGGGCGTGGTGGGGGCTGCGAGCCATGCAGCTCAGCAGCTGGACCTTCCGGGGAGACCTGGCTCCCCAAAGTCGAAAGTTGGTGTGAAAACGAGGGAGGGCCGGAGATCGGAGCGTGCTTTCGGAATATTAATTTGTTGGAGGCCAAGTGCCCCAGCCGGTCACCTTAGCACTCGGGAGGCTGAGACAGGACGATCGCTGGATCGCTGTGAGTTCGAGGCTAACCTGGGCTACACAGTGAGTTCAAGACCAAGTTTAACTTCTTCGTGAAACAACCCTGTCTCAAAAAACAGAAAGAAAGAAAGAAAAAAGAAAAGAAACTTTGTTAAAGACCCACCAAGTGGCAGTTTTTTGAGACAGGGTCTCACGTAGTTGCTAAGTTGTTCGGGTTGAGCTCAGACCTGTGATCCTCCTGATTCAGCCTCCTAGAGAGCTGGCATTACAGGCGTGTGCCACCACAACAGGCTCCAGTGGAGGTTTTCTCGTCCTCGTCTGAGGCTCAGGGAGGGTTTTGCAACGTGCCCAGTGTCACACTGAGTGGTAGATTCGGGGTTTAGCCTGGAGCACATCCGGTTCTAAACCGGGGCTCTCGGGGCTGTGCTGGGGTAGGGTCTCGGGGTCCTGGTCTCAGGCACGCGGGGCATTGAGGACGCTCACCGCCCTCCGTCCCTCCGGCCATGCGTGCGCTCTGGAGCGTGCGCTCTGGAGCGTGCGCTCTGGAGCGTGCGCTCTGGAGCGTGCGCTCTGGAGCGTGCGCCTGTGGGGAGCCAACCTGGCTGCCTGAATCTGAGCTCCGATGGCACATCTGGCCTCCTGGCTTGGCTGGGTGTGGGGGGAGCTTTCTCTGAGAGGCAGGCGGGCCTGGGCTGCGCCAGCTGTGCGTGTGGGGCCCTGGCTGGGCCCGCTTGAGTGGGGCTAGTGTGGGGTCCGGCGAGAGCCAGGCTGTCTCCGCCTGGCGGCTCCGGACCAACTGTGGTCCAGACGGGCCCTGCCCTTCCCCCACGATCCCCAGGAGCATCTGGTTGTGGGGGCGGGCAGGCGAGGGGGGGCCTGGCAAGGGTCCCGAGGCACCAGCAGGAGATGACTTAACTGGGTAAAATGTTCAGTGGTAAAGTCGGATGTGGCGAGCCTGGCCCAGTCTTGTCCCTGCTTCTGTGCCTCCCCCAAGATCTCCCAGCTTTGTGGCCTGGATTATGCAGTGTTGTCCCTTATAAGTCCAGAGTAGGTGTGACAATCGAAATAACTGAAATGACAGCGAGGCATAGAGGCACACACCTGCAATCCCAGCACTAGGGAGGCTGAGGCAGGAGGATCGCTGTGAGTTTGAGACCAGCCTGGGCTACATAGTGAATTCTAAGTCAGTCTCAACTACATAGTGAGACCCTGTCTCAATAAACAAACAAACAAAAAAAAAAGGGGTCTCAGAAAAATGTTTGCACACCTTTGTTCATGTCAGCATTATTCACAGCAGTTAAAACATTCAAATAACCCAAGTACCCCTTAACAAATGAATGCATAAGGAGAATGTGGCATATACATAGAATGGAATATTACTCAGCCTTGAAAAAGAAAGGGATCCTGTTATATGATACAGCATGGATGAAACTTGGAGGCCTGGTGCTAAGTGAAATAAGCCAGTCACAAAAAGACAGATAATGGATGACCCCACTTATATGAAATGCTTAGAGACAGAAGTGGGTGGTCACTGAGGATGTGGTGGAGTTGGGAGTTATTGTTTAAAGGGTACAGAGCTTTGGTTTTATGTGTCGAAAAGAGCTACAGAGATGGATGGTGCTGCTAGCTGACAGCATAATGAATACAGGTGCAGTGGGTACACCTGCAACTCTAGCACTTAGGGAGGCTGAGGCAGGAGGATGGCAAGTTTGAATCCAGACTGAACAATGTAACAAGACCTTGTCTGAGCCTGGCATGGTGGCGCATGCTTGTAATTCCAGCATTCGTGAGGCTGAGGCGGGAGGATCACCACAAGTTCAAGGCCAGCCTGAGCTACGTAGAGAGACCCTGTCTCAAAAGAAAGGAAATGCACTCTGGATGTGGCCCCACCATCGCCCATCCACGTGTCACCCCTCCGTTTGTCCCTTGGCATCAGGACCAAGGCTGACCAGACTGGCCTTCTGTCCTCCATCAAGTGTCAGGAAAGCTTTCAGCTGCACCCTTTATAACCACAGCAGCTTCAGTGGTTTTCTTGGTGGTCGTGGTGTGCATGGTGCCTGGCTCTGGGGACTCTTCCTGAGTCACCACCTGCTGGGCCGCAAGGCCATCATCGTCAAGTGGATAAAAGCCCACCCTGGTGGCTGCTAATGTAGCTAAGTTGTCAATCAGGAACTTTTTTTTTCTTTTGGTTTTTTGGCCTTGAGCTTGTGGCAATCCTCCTGCCTCAGCCTCCCAAGTGCTGGGACGACAGGCCTGTTCTTTTTCTCTGATCTCTACTCTGACTGGGTTGCTCAGTTTTTTGTCCCTGCTCCTCCAGGTCACCATGAAGACCAAGGCCCTGGATGGACTACCATGGGCACCCCCCAGGGCTGGCACCGGAGAGCCCGAGACAGCCCCAGGCAGGTGTCAGACGCAGACAGGACCCGGCTGAGCCAGGACCTTGGTGGGGGCACCCTGGCCATTGACACTCTGCTGGACAACGGCACCCGGGTGGTGGTGAGTGCTGGGCCAGGGGAAGTATGTGGTCTCATGTGGCCCTGGGGAAAGGAATGGAATGAGGGACTCGGGTGGGATGGAAGTAGCACTCTGCTGGCTGGTGCAGTGGCAGCCCCTCAGAGCCCAGAGGCACAACCTGAGACACCTTTCAAGCTTACCTCATTGACAGTCAAGATATCTACCACAGCTCTGGACACAGCAGCCCAGGGACGGCCAGGATGTATTGGGGCAGGAGCTGCTTCTATTCTTTTAGTAGAGGAACCCTTAAGATTACTATGGGGGGCGGGATTTAGCTCAGTGGTGCCACCTCCTGCCTTGCAAGCACAAGGTCCTGAGTTCAATCCCCAGTAACAAAAGAAAAAAAAAAAAAGATTACTATAGGAAGTTGAGTGTGGTGGCGCACGCCTGTCATCCCAGCAGTTGGGAGACTGAGGCAGGAGGATCGCTGTGAGTTTGAGACCAGCCTGGCTTACAAAGAGTTCCAGGACAGTCTGAACTACGTGGTGAGACCCTGTCTCAAAAAAAAAAAAAATTACTATGGGAACCCAGGTGTGGTATCACACGCCTGTAATCCTAGCACTCGGGAGGCTGAGGTAGGAGGATCACTGTGAGTTCATGGCCAGCCTGGGCTACATAGTGACAGTGAGTTCAAGGCCAGCCTGGAATACATAGCAAGATCCTGTCTCAAAGAAAAATAAACAAACCAAAAAGAAAGAAAGAAAAGACAAGTTGGCTCTGCTGCCCTTTTCTGCTGGAGATACTACTGAGACCAAGCCTTCGCCATGGGGACATCAGCACAGCTGGCCACAGTGACTGTAGGACTTGGGCCTGGAGAGCTCATGAAGAACCAATGGCCTCCATATGCACTTATTTTATTTTACTTTATTATTTTGGACAGGGTCTCATTTCATGTAGTTCTTGGCCTTGAACTCTGTATGTAGCCCAGACTGGCCTCAAAATGGAGGAGATCCTGCTGCCTCAGGCTCCCAAGAGCTTGGGTTACAGGCGGGGGCTTCTCATCCTTCTGCGTTGCTCACGTGGGGCTAAAGGGCTGACAGGCACTCTCAGTCCTCAGCCACTGCCCCCAACACAGGCCTGGACAAGACCAGTGCCAGGACCAGCGCTGCCGAGGGGCAGGGTGGTCGGGCTTCCCGGGCACCTGCTCCCAGGACCAAGCCCTGCGAAGGCACTGGGAAGGCACTGGAGCAGTGGGGCTTTTCTGGGGCTCCGAGATCCTACGCCTGGCCCAGGCCCCTCGCCCAGGCGGGTTCCCCTTCACCCCCAAAGCTGCCCTGAGCTCACTCGCTCCCTCCCACCTCTCAGCCCTGGGAATCGAACCCGGGGCCTTTTGAAAGCTAGGCTGTATCCTCAGTTTCTTTTTAAACATTTCTTTGGAGACAAGGTATCGCTAAGTTGCCAAGGAAAACAACTACACGGGAGGGAATATTTATTTATGTATTTATTGGTAATGGGAATCGAACTCCGGTCCTTGTGAGGCAAGTGGCGGAAGCACTGAGCTAAATCCCCAGCCCAGGAGGGGAACATTTATTATCGGTGTCATCGTTGATGATGTTGTTGTCATTGTTATTATTTTTGTGGTGTTGGGGCACAAACCCTGTGCTAGCACATGCAGGGTTGTGGGTTCAATCCCCAGGGCTGCAAAAAATAAAAAAGTTCCTCACATGGCATTTTTTCAGTACTAAGAAGCAAACCCAGGGGTCTCCTGAGCAACACCCCAGTGCCTGTTTTTCATTTGGGACAGGGATGACAGGCTTGGCAGCCCCCCAGAGAGGGGAGGCCGGTGCATCTGGGCTTAGAGGGGGGAGGTGGGGACGTGACCCCTCGGCCATTCCGTCTGTCTGTCCCTGGGTGTCCGCTCTACCTGCACAGACCGGTTCGCCCTTCCGCAGCTGGGCTCTGGGTCCGTCTGCTCTTCCCTTGGCCTCCCACCGCCCCAGGATCCCCGCCTCGCTGCTCCGAGGGCCTCAGAACACCGGCCCAGGCGCCAGCTGCCCTGTGTCCACCTCGGTCGCCTGGATGCTGTTCCCAGCTCAGCTGCCCGGCCAGGCCAGGCCGCCTCCTCCTTAAGCGCACGCCCCACCCACCCTGAACGGGCTCAGGATTTCCTGAGATTTTTCCACCGAGACCAATCCCAAAGCCCCAGACGTGCGGGGACTTAGCTGTGCTGGTTTAGGGAGCCTTTGAGCTAAGTCAGAGACCCTGTGGTTCAGGTCCGGGGCCGAGGTTTGGGAGAAACCAAGCTAAACCACATCACATCGGAAGGTGGCCCCCTTCCGCTCCACAACCCAAAGAAACTTCTTTTCCCAGCTCCCTGGTCCTTGTCCTTCACCGTTCTGATCCCACCTCGCCCGGATGGAAGACCAAAGGCTTGTCCCAGGCTTCCAGGCCACGACCCCTTCTGGGCTGCACCCATGGGTGAGCCACTGCCACCCCCTCGGGCACATGCGAGGGCCCTGCGGTCCCCAGTCTTTCCAGTTCATGCTCCTTACCCGTCCTCTAATTAGAGCTGTCCCAGTGGGGGCAAGGCGGTGCCACATTGTGGCTCTTATTTGGGTTTCCGTAATGACAAAGGATGTTAAGCGTCACTCAGGAGAAGGCTGGCCATGGTGGGCCTGAGCAAGCGTTCTGCCTGTTTTCTCTTGGCCCATTTAAAATTGGGTTGTTTGTCTTTGTCGTGGGAAAATCTCCTAACTTCCCGAAACCCGGTTCTCCAGTGTCTGGCGCCGGTGCTGTGGCCACGTCACAGCCAAGATGCTAAACAGCTCTGTGATGAAGGCCAGCCAGGGTCAGGCACTGAGCGAGGCTCTGGCCCCAGTGACCACACCCTGGCCTTCCTAGGATGCTTTGGTCTTAGGGTGGAGCATCCAGTATCCGGGAGACCTCAAGGGTGCGGGCAAACCGTGTGCAAACACAAGAATGTGCCGTCCATCAGACCCCTGGCAGACCCTGAATCCTCCATCATCGTGAGCACTAAATTTTGGTGGTTTCTAATTTCCCACGTCAAAGGTGTTTTGGTACAGCGACCTGCCAAGGCAAAGACGGCACCCTTGAGGGTTAAGCCAGTTTTCTTTTCTGTAAAACAGAAGCAAGAATCCCTCACAGAGCTGGTTTGCCTCACAAGCTTTGTGGGCGTGATGGTGCCCTCTATAATCCCACCCACTCTGGAGGCTGAGGCAGGAGGAGTACAACTTCGAGGCCAGCCTGGGCAATTTAGCAAGGCCTTGTCTCAAAACTTTAAAAAGGGGAGGGGCCAGGGATTTAGCTCAGTGAGTCCCACGTTGCGCTTGCGAGGCAGGCGACGGAACCGCTGAGCTGAATCCCCAGTCCCTCATTTTTTTCTTTAAATCTCTTCTCCACATCTCTCTTTCCCCTTCCCATTTGAATAAGCTCTTCCTACTTCCTAATATCTACCCCCCGTGTTGCTCCTATTTGTACTTTGGGTTTCTCACACTTAAACTTGTGTTTGCCTGATTTATTTTATTAAAGATTGTGGTCTCAAGGTGCATCCATTTACCTAAGAGTCCCTCAGCTTTATCCTTCTTTATGGCAGAGTAGTACTCCAGTTTATATCAATGCCAGACTTTGTTTTTATTGTTTTTTGAGACAGGGTCTCACTGTATAGTTAAGACTGACCTGGAACTCACTATGTAGCCCAGGCTGGTCTCGAACTCACAGCGATCCTCCTGCCTCAGCCTCCTGAGTGCTGGGATTACAGGCGTGGGCCACCACGCCTGGCTCAGACTTTCTTTATCTGTTCCCTTGTTGATAGATGTAAGGGCTGTTTGCAAGATTTGCTCTTATGAATTGTGCTGCTATAAAACATGAGTGTGCATGTGTCACTGTGGTCTGATGACTTTTAACTCTTTTGGGAAGAGACCTAGAAGGAGATTCCTTGGGTCAAAGGGAACCTCTAGTTTTAGTTTTTTTGAGAAACCCCCATAGTGCCTTCCTAGGTTGTAAGAAATTCTGTTTCCTCCACCAGTAGAGAAGGGTTCCTGCCTGGGTCTATTTACAAAAGGTTTGTGTGATTTTTGCTTTGTTTTGTTTTTTTGCTGTACTGGGGATCAAACTCAGGACCTTGTGCTTGCGAGGCAGGCGACGGAACCACTGCGCTAAACCCCCGGGCCTAGCCAAGGTTTGAATTTTCCCAGGGGCAGCGGAGCTACTTTCTGTTGCTGTAACTGAATGCCGGAATCTGGATGATTAATGGAGAATAGAGGTCTAATCAGCTCCCGGTTGCGGAGCTGACGCCCAAGATAAGGCAGCCGCATAGGTGAGGGCTTCTTGCTCTCTCACCCACCATCCGGCAGAAAAGCAGGCCCAGTGGGCGTGTGCAGCAGGGAGAACCCGAGCGAAGCCTGGCTTTGTAAGAGTCGCTCTTGCGGCAGCCACTCCGGTCCAGCGCAGAATGCGTTAACCCCGCCCTGCAGCGGTTTTCAAACTGTGCTCCGCGGAACGCTAGGGGGTCCCCTAAGCTGCTCAGCCCGGGGAGCTGGTGGAGGAGCAGCAGGGTGTAGGGGTCCGGGTCCGGGGCCTCCCTTCCCTCCCTCCTGAGTGGCCCCACTTCCGTGTGAGCGGAATCCAGCGTGGTACAGAGGATTCGCTGGCAGAAAGGATTTTTTGGGAAATTTTTGTCCCGCTGCCTCCCCACACAAGTGTGGGCGATGGGCGGGCTCGTGCGCACCTGTCGCAGAGACGCAGCAGCCTCGCTGTGCTTCCCAGCGGGCGGCTCCTGCTGGCCCTGTCTGCCAGCCCATGGCGCCTGGAGCACCTGTGGCCATGGGTGGTGGGCGATGGGGTTTCCTCGGCAGGTCCGTCACCAGGTGTGGCCTTGGTGTGACCCTTGTGTCACCCAGCATGTGGCAGAGAAGCAGGCCTGGGCCTGGCTGTGTATTCATTAGCATACAAGCTCAGCCTTTCTAATGCGTGCCTGAACAGCAAGGCTCTTAGACACCAGAGCACCCCTCTTCTTCTCCCACATTCGAGAGTGTCAGTGTAAGTAAGCAAAGTTTGGTATCGTGTCTCTGTGATGTTGGGGACCCGGTTCCCCAATCTTGTTGCTTTGCCCTGTGTACCATGTGCCTTCTGTTTCGTGGTCTAATGTGGCTGCTTCAGATCCTACCATCACATCTGCATCCCTCTAGGCAAGAGGAGGGCACCTCATTCCTACTACAGGCCATCATCCTGCTCAGTTTCCACTGGTCAGACAGTCGTGTACCACACCCTGCTGTGAGGAGTGTTGGGCTCATCCTCTGGCTGATGGCTTTCTGCTACCAAAAGGAGGCTGGTTACTGGGAGACCTGGCCCTGGGCAGGGCTGCTGTCTTTGAGGGGTGCTGGGTCAGCCACTCCCTTGTCACTGGGACACGATACCCAATACCCACAACTTGGGAGAGGTTAAGTTTGGCTCATGGTCTCAGGGATTCAGTCCATGGTTGTTGGCTCCGACTCAAGAAAGGAACGGTGGAAGGGGCTGGAGGAGCAAAGCGCTCAGCTCATGGCGGCCGGGGAGCAGAACAACAGCACCGGAGAGGAGAGAGCCAGAGGCCAGACATAGACCCCAAGGAGATTCTGCCTCGACCACCCTGAGGTCATGCTTAACCCCCACCAAGGCTGGCGTGGCTCCAGACAGCGCAGTGACCGTGGGCCTCAGTTTCCCCAGCTGGGAAGTGGCACAGTATCAGTCCTCCCTTGTGGAGGTTGCTGGTGGCAGTGCCCACGAATGCCCTGCTCGAGGCCGTGGCCCTGCAAAGGCAGCCCTGACTTCTCCTGCCCGCTGTCCCAGTCCTCGCGGACTCTGTCCCTGGCTGTGTCCAGCACTGAGCCCTCTCTGGTCGCCCCCTCCACGTCCCCAGGTGCTGTCCTTTAGGCCGCACTGAGTCTGGGCAGGGAGCTTCAGGATACACTGGGTCAGCGGGGTGGATGCCCAGGATCGGATCTCGGTGGCACAGGAGAGGACCAGGACACACCTGTGCCACAGGACACAGCCTGTGACAGCCTGCAAGGCAGATCAGTGTCAAGAACATGGCCCGGGGCTGGCACCTCCGTGGAGCAGCAGGACCGGGCCATTTGTCCTCACGTGACGTAGAGGATGCAGGGCAACCAGCCAGGGAGATGCACAGCCAGCGTCCCCACCTGTCCATGTCGTCTGCATCTGCTTGGGCTTCACAGCTGCACAGCGCAGCTTCTGTCCAGGCACCCGAGGGTCAGGGACGCGGTGGCCGTGGGAGCCTGGAAGCAGCTGAAGGTGCCCAGACCGGCCCCGGCCTGCAGGGTTCCTGGCTGCAAGCTGAGCTCCGCGTCCCTGCTGCTCTTTGGTAACAGGACCTTCTCCGGTGACAGAGCGTGTGGTGGTAGTGACGCAGAAGGACGAGCAGTCTGGAGGGGACTCAGCACAGCAGCTGCTCTCTGCTGAGGCTGTGATGGGCAGGAAGCAGGTCCTGCAGACAGAATCCCGGGAGGCCTGGGGCACACATTACAGGGAGAGCAGCAGGTGCTGGTGGCAGCCAGACCAAGCATCAGGGAGGTTTTGTTTCCGTGTGACGGCCGAAGCCAGGGACCTCAGGAGTGTGTCGTCCAACACCCAGGCTCCATCCAGCTTTCTACTCTACCATCCCTTAGGGGTGGCTCTTGTCCTCATACTGACAAGATGGCTGTTGGAGCGCCACCCATCCTGTCTGCCTTCTAGACTGGAGGAAGAGAAAAGGTCAAACAAAAGGGACACACAGTGAAATTTGACTTCAGAGTCTCCACTGGAACCTTTGGCCAGCCTGTGTCCCATACTCACCCTTAAGACATTCAGCAAATGAGCTGGCTTGCTGCTTGCTACAGAATCAATGTTCTGGTTGTTTGGTTATTTTATGCTTTTGCTCTTACTGGGTTGGTTGAGCCCAGGCTGTTCCATCTAAGCCTTCTTTCTTCTTTTCTTCTTCTTCTTCTTCTTCTTCTTCTTCTTCTTCTTCTTCTTAGCCTGTGTCCCATACTCACCCTTAAGACATTCAGCAAATGAGCTGGCTTGCTGCTTGCTACAGAATCAATGTTCTGGTTGTTTGGTTATTTTATGCTTTTGCTCTTACTGGGTTGGTTGAGCCCAGGCTGTTCCATCTAAGCCTTCTTTCTTCTTTTCTTCTTCTTCTTCTTCTTCTTCTTCTTCTTCTTCTTCTTCTTCTTCTTCTTTTCTTCTTCTTCTTCTCCTCCTTCTTCTTCTTCTTCTCCTTCTCCTTCTCCTTCTCCTTCTCCTTCTCCTTCTCCTTCTCCTTCTCCTTCTCCTTCTCCTTCTCCTTCTCCTTCTCCTTCTCCTTCTCCTTCTCCTTCTCCTTCTCCTTCTCCTTCTCCTTCTCCTTCTCCTTCTCCTTCTCCTTCTCCTTCTCCTTCTCCTTCTCCTTCTCCTTCTCCTTCTCCTTCTCCTTCTCCTTCTCCTTCTCCTTCTCCTTCTCCTTCTCCTTCTCCTTCTCCTTCTCCTTCTCCTTCTCCTTCTCCTTCTCCTTCTCCTTCTCCTTCTCCTTCTCCTTCTCCTTCTCCTTCTCCTTCTCCTTCTCCTTCTCCTTCTCCTTCTCCTTCTCCTTCTCCTTCTCCTTCTCCTTCTCCTTCTCCTTCTCCTTCTCCTTCTCCTTCTCCTTCTCCTTCTCCTTCTCCTTCTCCTTCTCCTTCTCCTTCTCCTTCTCCTTCTCCTTCTCCTTCTCCTTCTCCTTCTCCTTCTCCTTCTCCTTCTCCTTCTCCTTCTCCTTCTCCTTCTCCTTCTCCTTCTCCTTCTCCTTCTCCTTCTCCTTCTCCTTCTCCTTCTCCTTCTCCTTCTCCTTCTCCTTCTCCTTCTCCTTCTCCTTCTCCTTCTCCTTCTCCTTCTCCTTCTCCTTCTCCTTCTCCTTCTCCTTCTCCTTCTCCTTCTCCTTCTCCTTCTCCTTCTCCTTCTCCTTCTCCTTCTCCTTCTCCTTCTCCTTCTCCTTCTCCTTCTCCTTCTCCTTCTCCTTCTCCTTCTCCTTCTCCTTCTCCTTCTCCTTCTCCTTCTCCTTCTCCTTCTCACGGGATCAACGTTCTGTTAGTAAAGAGGAGAAAGGAATGGATGTCAAACAGGCAGTGCCCAAGGGGGACCCACAGGATGTCCTGAGTACCACTGGGGAGCCACAGAATGTCTCAGGCAGGGAGAGTGACCAGGATGGTAGAGAACAACTCCAGGCCACCCAGCTGAGCCGGAGCAGCCCTCACCGGCAGGCCCTGTGCCTGGCTCCCACGGCTGCATAACAAACAACCGCAGCGGGCAGCAGGAAGTGGTTCCGGCCGTCCGTCCTTGATGTCCTTAGTTTGGGACAATGTCCACCCTCCATCCCCTGTCCCCAGTGCCCCTCTCCTGCCATACAATGGCAAAAGAGAGGGTCTGGGCGTCAGAGGGGCCTCCACTCACCCCACACCACTTCTGGAGGACCTAGTATTCGATGGCCTTGAGTCACAGGTCACAGGGAAGGTGATGTCTGAGCTGAGCTTCGAGGCAGAGGCCGCAGGTGCCTCCCTCCCTGCGGCTCTGTCTGCTCCTGAGCCCTCTGTTTGTGCCCTACCGTCACCTCTGTCAGATTGGCAGCTCCCCTGGCTCACGCCCAAAGCCGCATGGGACCCGGTCTGTCCCTTGTCCTAACTGAAGAGTGGTCTGATCCCCTAGGGTAGCAGCCTGAGCACCCTGCTGGCTGAGCCCGGGAACAGCAGGGAGTATCAGGGGGGCTGCACCCGCTGAGGACCCGGGGGGCAGGGGACGGGGTCCTAGGCCGGGCGGCCTCTGGGCAGCGACTTAGCACCTAGCAGTCGGGTGGGCAGGGCGGAGGTGGGTGCTGGCCGGCCTGATGCCTCGTCCGTCTGGTCACCGGCAGGAAGACAACCACAGCTATTACGTGTCCCGTGCCTACGGCCCCAGCGAGCCCCGAAGCCGGGAGCTGTGGGCGGATGTGGCCGAGGCCAACCACACCCAGGTGCGGGTGCACAGGATCCTGTCCAGCGCCCACCGGCAGGCTTCAGTGAGTGCCCGGCTGGCCCGGGGAGGGCGCGGCTGTGGCTGAGATCTGACGCCCCGGGGCCCCTTCCGCCCAGACCAGCGCTGCATGTGGCGCCGTCTGGACCGACTGCCCTGTCCCCGCAGAGAGTGGTCTTGTCCTTCGATTTCCCTTTCTACGGGCATCCTCTGCGACAGATCACCATAGCAACGGGAGGTAAGGCCGGTGGGCTGGGAGGGCTCCTCGGAGACCGATTCCCAGCGGTTCCCCGACCTGCGCCCCTGTGGGGCCGTGGGGGGCGCTCTCAGCTCCCGCCCGGGAGGCCATCGGTGACTGGGACCCTCCGCCCGGCCCGCAGGCTTCCTCTTCATGGGCGACGTGATCCACCGGATGCTCACAGCCACTCAGTACGTGGCTCCCCTGATGGCCAACTTCAACCCCGGCTACTCCGACAACTCCACCGTGGCCTACTTCGACAACGGTGAGGCAGGGCTCGGCGGGCTCACAGCGGCAGCTGCCCCCGCCACCGTCCCCGGGAGGAGCCTGGCTCTCGGGGGAGGTGAAGTGAAGGCCAGGGACCCTCCTCGTGGCTCCTCGCCGAGTTGTCCCAGGACAGCGGAGAGCTCTGCAAGTACCCACACGGCCTCACACGCAAGGCTTTTGAAAAGCGCCGGTGATCCCAGCACTCGTGAGGCAGAGGCAGGAGAATCCCACTGGAAGTTCAAGTCCAGCCTGGGCTTCACAGTGAATTCCAGGCCAGCCTGGACTGCACAGACCCTGCCACAAACAAACAAACAAAATGCGACCGAGTCGTGGGTCGGAGCTAAACACCCATTCGGGAGGTGGGCGGGGCCTCGGGGAAGGGACTTGGGTGTGGCCTGGAAAGGCTCCTCCCCCCGCTCTCTGCTTCCGGTGGGGGTGGCCACTAGGTGAGCCGCTCTCCTCCCCCGCCCACCCCTCCACCCCTGAGACTTGGGTGCCCAGGGCTGTCTGTGTCAGGGACGGGAAGTGGCTCCGACTGGACCTACTTCCCACCCCTGCCCAGGGACGGTCTTCATCGTGCAGTGGGACCGCATCTACCTCCAGGGCCGCGAGGACAGGGGCAGCTTCACGTTCCAGGTGGCCCTGCACCGCGATGGCCGCATCGTCTTCGGCTACAAAGAGGTGAGCAGCCGCGGCAGGGCCGGCTGGTGTTGGGGCTGCAGCTCTGGGGAGTCCGGGTCAGACGGAGCCCCTTCTCGCGCTGCCGCAGATCCCCATGTCGGTCCGGGAGATCAGCTCTGCCCAGCACCCCGTGAAAGCAGGCCTGTCCGATGCCTTCATGGTCCTCAATCCGGCCCCGGACGTGCCAGGTGAGTCCCCGGGCCCCCGACCGGCCAGGCGGTACGGATGGCCTCGAACTCTGTCCTGCTGTGAACCACACTCTCTCTCAACCTCCGATGCCTCCTCTGTAAAATGAGAAAGGAACACAAGAGAAGCTGCCTCTTCCCCGGTCCTCCTCCAGCGCCGACACTTTAGGGAACACAGCTCTTTTTCTCCTACTTCAAACCTCCAGTCAGGGCCCAGAAGTCTTTTCATTTTGAGGTAGAGTCTGGCTAAGTCGCTAAGTTGCCCACGCTGGGCTTGAATTTGCAGTTCTCCTGCCTCAGCCTCCCAGAGTGCTAGGATGGCAAGGCATTTACCACCATTCCTGGCTCCGGTAGGGTCTTGACTCACACTCCTCGGAGGCTGCAGGTGCACCATCCACGGCTTCCAGACTCCTGACTCGGAGACTTTTGAAGCTGGCCTCTGCTGAGCTGTGTGCCCAAGTTCCACCATGCAACCTGCACCCTTGTCTGTCTTAACCCTCCCATTCCTGCCCAGAGGGCCTGGGCCAGGGTTCCTGGGAGAAGTGCCTGGCTTGCCTGTGTTTGTGGAATGTCTGATCAAGGCACACATTCTGAGGCCACTCAGAGCAGTTGAGGTATGATGAAGAACGAGACAGCCCTCCCCCTGCCGTGTCCTCCTCTGAGCAAGCCTTTGCCCTGGACAGACTCTGCGGGAGACCAGACGCGGTGGGGCACACCTGTAACCCCAGCACTAGGGAGGCTGAGGCAGGAGGATCGCTGAGAGTTCCAGGCCAGCCTGGGGAACAGAGTGAGACCCTGCCTCTGGCTCTAGCGCTGAATGCTGGGGTTGGGTCTGAACTCTTGGCCAGCGCTGGTCCTGGTGCGTCCCTCAGCATCCCTGGTTTCTTGCTGGCTGTGGACTGTCAGGGTGGCGCTGTCTCCCGCAGTGACTGTGACTAGGAAGGCAGTGTGTGCGCAGCCAGGGTCCGGCACAGGGCCACTGTGTTCTTCTGTGACTCAGCACTTTGTCACCCCGCAGTGCTGGGACTGACACACGTGTTTCGGGGCAGACGCTCTCCAGGACGGCTGGGTGGCTTTTGTGGCCAGTGACAAAAAGTCCCATGCTATTGTGACAACGTCCCCAAACCTCCCTCCTTTCCGCTTCCTCCTGTGCGATTGAAGCTGTTTCCAGAGTCACTACTGTTTACTTATGCTTTTGTTTATCTTCACTCAGAAAAGCCGCACATATATGTATATATAAATCTTTTTTAAAGGACAGAGTCACACTGGTTGCAGGCTGTCTTTGAACTCCTGAGTTCAGCCTCCCAAGATGCTGGGGCTACAAGGAAAATTACGTATTTTCTTTTCTTTCTTACTTTTTTTTTTTTGGTACTGGAGATCAAACTCCGGACCTTGCGCTTGTGAGGCAGGTGGTGGCACCACTGAGCTGATCCCGGGCCTGATTTTTTTTCATAAATAAATGTAGCTGGTCTAAAATTAAAAAGATACAAAATGATGTAGCGAAGAGATTAGAGTTCTTGCTGGGTGTGGAGCACCTATAATCTCAGCACTCTGGGAGGCTGAGGCAGGAGGATCATAGGTTTGAACACTGCCTGGGCAATTTAGTGACTTTTCAAGACCCTGTCTCAAAAAATAAAAAAGGGCTGGGGACACAGCTCAGTGTGAAGGCCTTGGGTTCAACCCAGGTATTGCCAAAAACAAAATATTACAGTCGTCCCCTCTCCCTGACCTCTGCCCCCAGATCCCCTCCCTGGAGTTAACCCTTCTGTAAGAGGTGGCTTGTGAGGTGCACTTGTCTCCGGTGTCCACAGGGACTTGGGGCTCTGCAAAGCCAAAACCCATGTGACAAAGCAAGTGGAGAGGGCTGGGGAGGGGCTCAGTGGCGGAGCACTTGCCTGCACATGGAGGCCTGGTTCCCATCCCTGAAATCACAAAGAAACCCCCAGGCACTGTATTCATTAGCTACTGCTGTGTAACAAACGGCTCCAAAGTGTAGCATCTGGAAACAGTGACTGTATCGCCTCAGTTCCTGTGGCTCAGGAAGCACAGAGGGACTCAGGGTGTCTCAGAGGCTGCTTGGCTCCTTGCCTTGTGAGCTCTCCCAGAATGGCTCTCCACAGGGCCCCGGCTCCCTACCGAGCAGAAGAGAGAAGCCAGCACCTCTGAGGCAGAGTGTTAATGACTTTTGCCATGCCCTGTGCTTGGCAGCAAGTCCCTGGGTCCAGTTCACGCCGAGAGGAAACTTCCCGAGGGTGAGGGTACCAAGTGGCTGCCTGCCCACCTGCCCAGGACACTGACCACAGTCCCAAACCCCAGGCACTCAGCTGCCCAGCGTCTCTGCCCCCCATGGCACGGGCAGCCTGTACATTTTACTAAACCAGTGCCCCTGCTCAGAGAGGTGGTGTAACTTGCCCGTGGTCCCACAGCTATGGAGGGGAGGAGTACGGAGACCTGGATCTCCTGATTTCAATCCCATTAAGCCTTTCTTTTTGTTCTGGAGATTGAACCCAGGGCCTTTACATTGCGCTCCAGTCCTAACCCTTTTTTATTTTAAATTTTGAGATAAGGTCTTGCTGTCAGAATTTCCAGGTTGTGTTTGACCTTGTGATCCTCCTGCCTCAGCCTTCCAGGGTGCTGGGATGACAGGCGTGCTCCTTGCTTTCTCAATCTGACCCACCCCAATTCCATCCCAGTTCCATTCCCAGGAATGAACCCTTTCCTCCTCAGCGGCCCTTAACTCTTGCAGCCCCGGGCACACACACCCCAGACTGCTTGGGGACCCGGGGCGTCTTTGTCAGGAGATGTGGTTCCGCAAGCCATTGGATGGGGGAGAAGAGGAAATCAGGCTCCAGGGCAGGACTGGTGTGGGGTCTCCTGTGGGATTCTGGGAGCGGGGCGGAAGGAGGCTCAGCCCCCCTGAAATAACGGGGCAGTGAGGAGGGAGGCAGGGCAGGGGCTCCAGAGTAATCACAGGGAAAGAGTTGCTTCTGCTCGAGCGACCCTGTCCTCCGTTCTGTTGCTTGTTGGTTTCGGTTTTTTCTGAGACAGTGTATTGCTGTGTATCAGGTGGCCTTGCACTCACCTCATAGCCCAGGCCAGCCTCGAAATCATGGAGATCCTCCTGCCTCAGCCTCTGAGTGCCAGGCTGACAGGCGCACACCCCCACCCGGCTCTCTGTTCTTCCGTGACTCTGTGCAAGACCAGGCGCCTGGTGCCACCTGGGCTTGGGAGAGGGTTTGTGGGCATCACACTCCTTCTTCCAGAGGTTTCAGCTGGGGCCACCAGGCACAAACTCGGGGGCTGAGAGCTCTAAACCTGGCCACAAAGACGAGAGCTGGGGCGAGGTGTGTGTGTGCATTTTTTTCTGAGACAGTGTCCTCACCATGTGCGTGTGTGAGGGACTGGGCTCGGCCTGCAGCCCCACAAACAAAATCAAGTGGACCAGGCCCAGCCCTGCTGTGCAAAGCACCCGGCCACCTGTTGGGGAGCTCAGGCCCCTCTGAGTGCATACGACCCGATTCTGTCCAGATGAGGCTGAGCTGCAGATGGCAGCAACCCAGGAAACACCGTGGATAAACGAGAAGTTCCGGGTAGCCCTGGGGCTGCAGACCCTGCCATCCCCTCGGACCTTGGTGTCCAAGCCCAGGCGGCTTCCCTGTCCTACCCAGCTTGGCTCCTTCCTGCCATCCGAGGAGTGGATTTGGTGCCCGGGATTCAAGGACCCAACCTCTACCCTGAGCCCCTGAATCCTGTCCTTCCCTCTCTTTCCCTGGCTCACAACCCTTCCTTTCCCAGCCCGAGTTTTTCTAACCACCCCTCCCTTCTGCGGAGCATCTTTGATCTGAGGAAAACCACGCTGCCTGCAGTAGTGGTGCACATGCCTGTCATCTCTGCACTTGGGAGGCTGAGGCAGGAGGATCACCATGAGGTCAGGTCCAGCCTAGGTTACATCGCGAGACCTTGTCTCAAAAATCCAAAACAAAATGGCGGGTGGTGGCTTTTGGAGGTGCTCGAGAAATCTGAGGTGGCCCTGACCCTCTTCAGTGACTGAGGGATGACTGGGAGCCGGCTTTGTTTCCTCTATGCTATTTCGTGGGCAGCGTAAAAGCTCCCTTAGCATAGCCAGCATGGGAACTGAGAGTCTGAATTAGTGGAACCGGTTAATGAGGCTTTGATTGTTAAGGGCTCTACATTGTGGCCTGCCCTTGTCTGGCCCCAAAATGGCCTTAGATGGCCCTAACAGCCAGGGCCTCTGCTTTTTCCAGAATTTTCCTTTCTGGGGCCCACTCCAGGCCAGCTGTGCGTCAGAGGCCTGTGCCAGGCTGCTGGTGGAGCCGCGGAGGCCCCAGAGCTGGCTGCAGGGCGAGTGGGACTAGCCCAGCAAGGTGGCGCCTGCCTGTCATCCCAGCACTCGGGAGGCTGAGGCGGGAGGATCACTGCGAGTCCGAGGCCAGCCTGGGTTACATAATGAGACCCACTCTGGGGGGAGGCAAAATAAACCAATAAACAAAAGGGGAGGAGGATGAGCCACGTGAGGATGGGAGAGGAGAAGGAGCTGTTCCTTCCGAGGCCTGAGTCACGATTGTTAAATGAAGCGTAACCGGGGCCAGGGGTAAAGGAATGAAGACTGCACCCCCGTTCCCCAGTTCCCCATCTGACGCCACCCTCTGGGTGCCACGCTGGGCCAGGGGCTGTCCGGATGCAGGCAGGCGCGGGTCGTGTGGGAAACAGGTCTCAGGCGCCGGACACAGGGCAGCAAGGCAGACGGATGTCGTTGTCCCGGGCGGCCCTCGGGGTGGGGAAGGGACCTAAGGGAAGATCTGGAGCAGGGCTACAAGGCTGTGCTCGTGGAAAAGAAAACCATGACCGAAGGAAGCCTGAGCTCAATCAGGCACCAGCTGGCCGTGGGTGCGCCCGGAGCTCACGAGGGACGAGGGACACCTCTCCACCCTGCCGCCTTGCTCTGGGGGACGCCTGGCCCTCTCTGGTGGGGCGGCCCGGTGGCTGGGGCACAGCCCCAACTCTGAGAACTGGGGCGGTGTCTGGCTTTCTGTTCCTGCCTGGGCTCGGCCCCTTTGACAAAGGCCTCGCTGTCCCGGGCTGGGAGGAGGGGCAGCTCCCTCGGGTGGGGAAGCTCTCCAGGGTTTCTGGGCAGTCTGCAACCTGTTCGCTCTCTCCTCGGCACTGGGCTACTCATTTCTTGGTTTGGTTTTCTGACGCAGGGTCTCACTGTGCAGTCCAGGCTGGCTTCACACTTACAGCCATCCTCCTGCCTCAGCCTCCTGAGCACTGGGATGATAGTCAGTCACCACGACGCCCGGCCTTGTTATTGTTTCTTGAAGCCCTGTTAAGTGCAAGGCCTGGGGTCAGGGCCAGCAGTGCAGAGCCCCCTGGACCCGTGTTGGGAGCTTGAAGCCTGGCGGGGAGTGGTCAGTACTGACCTAGCGGTGTGAAACTGACACAGACTCACTGCACTGAGTGGGGGGCACCCTCGAAGGCGGATGTTAGACTTCAGGCCACATGGCCTCAGCCCCAAGTCGGGCAAGAGAGCGGACCACTGGGTATCACGTTTGTCCTTTTTCCCATCGCGCCTTGGTGCCGAAAGGGGTGGCTTTCTAGAGCACACGTGGCTCCTGGGGACAGCAGTGGGGTAGCGCTGTGAAAGCCCCCCCGCAACTTCCTGTCGGCCCCAGGCCACCTTCTGATAGCAGTGGGAAGCACGGTAGGCTTGGTGCCCTGCTGGGCAAAGGAATTACAAAAAGAACACACCCAAAAACGGCCCTCCCTTGTCTCAGCCTTGGTCAGACCCCACTCACACTTGCTTTAAAAACCAACAGAATCTGTGAATGGCATACAGTGGTGCACACCTGTAATCCCAGCACTCTGGGAGGCTGAGGCAGGAGGATCCCAAATTCAAACTTAGCTCGGGCAACCTATCAACTTAGTGAGAACTTGTCTCAAGATAAAACGTTTAAATAAGGGATGGGGCCACCGCTGTGAAGGCCTTGTGTCCCATCCCAGTACTGCCAGCAACAGAACCCTGTGTGTCATGTGCACGCGTATTGTGCGTGTCTGGAGGGGTGTGCGTGTGCCCGTGGGGGTTGCACGTGCTCTGTGACCCTCATCCTCCCCACTCTTGATGGGGGCTGTGTCCCCTACGACCCGGTCACCCCAAGCTCTCACCGGCATTCTGAGGCTTGCTGCCCTCTCGCCCGGAGGTTGTCAGGAGGAAGATGAACACGGAGAGATCTTCTGGGCGAGGCTTCAGGCCTTGTTTCTAAAGCAGGTGTGTGATTGTCCCCTCTGAGGGGCTCTTGGGGTCACCCAGTGGGTGCAGGAGACCATGGAAGGACGCAGAGCACGTGTCCCCCGACTGCTCAGTGACTCAGCTTGAGGTCAGGCTGAAACTGGCCTCAGCTGCCTGTGGGGACCCCCGGCCCCTCCTGCCCACACCAGGCAGTTGTGGACACTTTTGGGGACTTCTTGGAGCTGCCCAGGCATTGAGACCTGAGTTTTAAGTCTGGGCTCTGCAAGATAACAAAAAAACGAAACCCCGAATAGTGTGGCTTTCGGCAAATCGTGGCCCCTCCTTGGTCCTTCTTTGTAGAGCGGGGCTCCTGGGTACCCCAGAAGGTTACACAGGCAAACGAGTTGATCCAGACACGGCACCGGTCTGTCCTGGGCGTCACCGAGGGGTCAGGACCTGGCAGGTGCTGAGTGAGGAGCCGAGGGCAGTGCTGGGCTCAGTCAGTCACTGTGGGGTGAGGATGGCGAACCTTTCAGAGCGCCCAGGGACACAGGCCGGCCGCAGGTTCGCCACCCCGCCTTTGGGGCTTGGTGAGTCGCTGCCCGAAGCTGTGTCCATTCCCAGGTTTCATTTTGTGTGCCCTCAGTTTCCCCACCAAGGCAGGAACCTTGACTCTGTCCCAGCTATGTCCCGGCAGCGGGGAGCTGCAGGATGAGGGGGAAGAAAGGGAGAGGGGAAACCGTTCGTCCTGCTTGTGCCTCAGTTTACCAACATCCACTGGGGCAGCGCTGGGGTGTCGGAGAGGCCGAAACTGCCCTTGAGTCACAGAGAAGGAGCCGGGCCGGGAGTGGAGCGTTTCTGGGTGTGGTCTTGAGTCCTTGTTCCTGCGTCACCCTGCTCCCACCCCCTTGTAGCCTCACCACAGCCCAGCCGGCTCCCTGACTTCTCCCCCATCTCCTTGGCCCAGCAGGTGACAGGGGACAGGTGGGCTCCGCAGGGCTGGATGGTGCAGACATCTCAGGCCTGGGGCCCCAGCGGCCGGTTCAGTTCTGGAGCTTTGCCACCGGCAGCGGTGCAGTCCCTTCTCTGAGGCTGTGGCCGGGGCGCTGGCGACTGCAGGGGCTTTGACACCAGAACACGAGGTTCAGTCCGGGGTTAAGAAGGAGGTGGGGAAGGGAATGGAGAAACTGTGTTCCACAGTGGCACCCACTCTGCACGAGGGGCGGGTGGGGTGTGCATGGCGACTGCGGGCTTTGACACCAGAACACGAGGTTCAGTCCGGGGTTAAGAAGGAGGTGGGGAAGGGAATGGAGAAACTGTGTTCCACAGTGGCACCCACTCTGCACGAGGGGCGGGTGGGGTGTGCAGCAGTAGCGGGGAGCCCTCGGTGCGGATGGCCCCACTGAGCTCGCTGACACCCTGGAAAAGTCTCCACCTTCAGAGTCGGGGTGGAGGCGCACGCCTCTCATCCCAGCATTCAGGAGGCTGAGACAGGAGGATCACCAAGAGTCCAAGGACCTCCTGGGCTACATAGAGGGACCCTGTCCCAGAAAAACAAAACCTCACGAGAATCTGAGGCTCCTCACCTGCCCAGTTTCATGAGTCCCTCCAGGGAGACTGTAGTGCTCAGGTGTGGAGGCTGTGGGAGGAGCTGAGCAGAGGAGCCGACTGCACTGTTCCCTGGGCTGTTCCCTGACTTCCCGAAGCTTCAGCATCGGGGCCCACACCCTTCCTCCCTCCCTTTGAGCTGGCTCCACCCGGGGTCAGGCCTCGGAGCCCCAGGCTGTGACCCACACCTGAGGCCGAGCGCTGACTCTCTCTCTCTCTCTCTCTCAGAGTCCTGGCGCAGGACCATCTTCGAGTACCACCGCGTGGAGCTAGATACCAGCAGGATCACCAGTGCATCCGCCGTGGAGTTCATGCCACTGCCCAGTGAGTAGGGTTCAGGCCGGGTGCCTCCTTGGTGCGTTCTGGAGTTGGACTACGCCCCCCCAGCCCTGGGGGTGTGGCCACCTGGCCTCTCTGCCTCTTTTTCCTCTGGAACATAAGTCCAACACCAACTCCTTCCCAGAGCCAAGAGCTTTGCTTTTTTTCCCCCGTTTTTTTTTTTTTTTTTTT